GCTACCACCACTTGGAAGTGAGGGACAGGAAAAATGGTAAGTACAGGATTTGCATAAACAATGCATTTTTGTAAATTTGCCATTATAACCACAAAGGCTTTAATTTGACTCTCACAGAAATCAGAACTGGCCTCTGATTATCTCTGTAGGTAGGAAAATACATGCCTGCTAAAGTCAGAGGAATGCAAGTATATGTATTTATTTTTATTCTTGTAATTTTGCAGTTTCACATAGGCCACTCTACATTGTTTTACTGATGTCTGGTTGTCTGCTCAGTATAAGCTGCTTAATGCTGATAAGCATTAAGAAAATAATGAGAATCCTGCTGCCATTTAATTGCACCAAAATGCATGCTATGTATGTCTTGAAGGGGTTGAAGAACAAAACACCAGGAGCTATTGCACTTTGTAACCAAAGTTTCTTTCCATTCATTAAAGAAGTATTGGTTTGAAGAATTCAAAGTTATCCACTTTTACTCATTAAGTTTTGTCACATCTGAAAGGTTTTAAGGTATTTAACTCTGTCCAGAAAGGAATAGCTTTGCAGGAACAAAATGCCTATAATGCACAATTATTCAACTATCACATAACTTGTGTTTTATGTTCATTTCTAGTCACTACCTACTTCAGAACAAGACTGGGATTGGGAAAATAAGTAAAACCCTGGATTATTTTCAAAAGCAGAACAGATTACACTAAATACTAATGAAACATGCAAGTAGCTGCAAGATGCTAGGCAGCCACTGGCAATACACAGGGAATATGGCACCACCCAGTGGGAACAGCACTACATGAAATATCTGCATTAAACGAGCCATGAAGAAATATAACTCTTCAGGGTTTGCTGGGGTTGTTTGTTTTTAATAATAGAACTGCTACCTATTTTGGGGATCTGTAGATTAGCATTGGAGAAAAAAAAGAAAAAAAACCATGGATCTCAGTTACAGAAATTAACATTGTATCCAACGGTACTTCTTAGTATGGCCTCAAAAGACTTTTTATTTTGGGTATCCTGCTAAGGCTTAGCCCCAGGATTTTTCATTCTCTTACAATCTCTCCAGTGCAAATGGCAACTACACCTTACCTCCTAATAGTGCCTTAAAGAATCTCCTCCTTTTAAGAAATTATACCTGTTTTGTTCAAAGAGCTGAAGCCAAAAGTCAGATTGCTTGAAGTTTCAACACATTTTAAAAATGAAAATTTAACGTGCTTAAATATCATCGACGTATTCAACCAATTGGGTGCTCAACCCTTGAAACCTATGATTAGAATTGATTTCTGATATTTTCACTGATCGTGTTACAATGATGTGAAAACCTTTACTACTCCATAAATGTACTGATCTCTTGGTTTATACAAACTCACAGGAGCATGAATTGGAAATGTTGGAAGGCCAACATATGACAGGCTGAATAACATAATTGTTTCTAAATTGCACTGTATTGTATTGTTTTGTCTTACAAAAGATACACCTCCTTTTCTCTCCTCCTCCCTCCCCAAAATTAGAGATGGGGTTTTTTTTGGAAGGATTAAGGTTCTGCTCACCTGAACAAATTACTAGAATATCAACTGACCCTGCTTTTGAGCTTCCACTGGTGATACTCTATCTGTCAAGCTTCAAACAAACTCCATCTACACCAAATTAAGAGCTACACAAAAATCACAGAATAACAAAATGGTTTGGGTTGGAAATTGCCTTAAAGATCATCCAGTTCCAACCCTCCCCCCTCTTCCCCAGGCAGGGACACGTTTCAGTAGACAGGCTGCTCAGGGCTCCATCCAACCTGACCTTCAACACTTCAAGGAAGGGGCATCCACAGTTTCTCTCAGCAACAAAGGATCAACATTTTACAATACAAGCTTATGTACGTACTACAAGCTTAGGTAGGATTTTGTGTAACTTATTTCTCACCTTCCCAAAAATACAAAGTGTCAGCAGCTTGTATTCCATCATCTCAAAATAGTTTGGGGCATAGTCCTAGTGAATTCCCTGTCCTTTTATGCTGCATATTTCTTGATTAATACCTACAGTTTATTTAGATTAAAGTAAGGGGATAAAGACACAGATAAGTGTTCCATCATAAACTCACAAAAACAAATTGAAGTATAAGTTTCATCTTGTATTTATTTAGTTTTGACAGTAGGCACAAAATACTTTTAGTTTCCGAGTTGAGAGATGTTTACATCCAGTTTTGAAGAATCAACATCAAAAACAAAGTACACAGACACAGGCGCAGCTGGGGGAAAAAAGGTACATACATTAATTTAGTTTTTTTTCTAAACCTATTCCCAGATCCTAAAGCTCAGCATAACCAACCTGTTTCCACAGATACCACAGCACATCACAAACCCTCCTGGACAGCTTTCACAGCAGGTAAGCAAGTGCCAACCCTGAAGAAACCCCACACAGCTCCTGTGACCTGAGCCAGAAACGCTCAATGGCTTTAAGTGACAGGTCCTGGGTATACACCAGCAACATCTCCCTGGGACAGCAGAGGCAAGTATCTGATTCTTCAGGAGCACAGGGGAGTCTCACTTCCCACTTCACCCTCCTAGGGAGGAGAACTTGTTCCCTCCAGGCACCAGCAACAACCAGCCAATCTCACACAGGCCAAGCCTTGCTGAAAGCTTCCAACCAAAAGCCACAGAACACTGGCCTGTGAATTTGACTCTTCTAGCCCACAGAAATAAGTACCCTCACTTTATCTTTCAGTTTCCCCACAGCATTGCAGCATTGGAATGGCTGCAATTTGTACTCAAAATATATGATACAGTAAGTACTATGCTATTATAAAAACCATATGCACTGCCAATGGAACTCTTACACACATACATGACTTAATAAAAGAACTGAAGTAACTTTCTTAAATACAGTACATGATTTCAACATCCAGTATATGTAAACATCTGACATCCATAACTGGACTAGAGTTTCTCTGGTTACAGATGAATGCCTCAACTTAGAAACTTAGAGCAAGTATCATTCTGCACTTTCCTCTTAAACTTGTCTTCAGAACTGCAGATGTTCTACAGGTGCTACATGTTTCCCAAAGCACATTTTATTTCTAAACACACAGGATACTAAAGAGACAATGCACAGCATTTTTTTAACACAAAAAAAATTTGTTTTTTCTTTAGGAAGGGAGTTGTCTTTTCATGCTGTGATTTTTTGGTAAGAATAAAGAGATGATAGCCAGAACTTTCATTGATCAACAGCTAAAAAGTAAAACCCAAAAAATATTAAAACAAATTAGATTTAAAAGAACTTCAAGTTTGCTCAGTTATTGGGTAAGAAAACATCCTTAGGCTCCCTTCATGAGGTTTAAGCAAGGTTGTGCTTTCCTGTAAGTATCAGTTGAGGAAAAAACAGTTGATATGAATGACTAATTAAAAACCTCTTCTACATTTAGATGATATGCCAGCTTGCTTTCTATCATTCCTGCTAAGCACTGAGCTCAAACTCCCAAGCATTCACAATGATAAGAACAAAATATCATCCAGGTTAATCCTAAAACTGCAAATCTGCCAAAACACAGTATGTTTATTACTCTGACTATAATTCCTAAAAGTGCTCCCTGGAACAGATAAGAATTTCAGCTACCGCTAAGTCCAAACCAGAGAATAACCATCAGCCTTACAACTACTGACTCTCGGTAGTTATTCTCTGCAATTTCTTTAAAATTCTAATTATTTCTAATTCTGCTATTATTTCTATAATCTGCGTGGTGAGAACTGCTTTATATACCAGTATCATTGTCATATTATGTACAACTTGGCACCTTCAAAGAGACCCAATTCTGCTTCCTTTGACAGATGTAAAGATTTTTATTTCTTAAGTTCACTTTTCCTGCAATTCTGGAAGAGAAAAACATGGTTAAAACAGGCAGAATATACTATTTGTTTAAGCTACTAAACAAAACCATTACAACTGCATGATGTACATAGTCCTTCATGATGTAAACTTCTGTGAATGTAGCATTAATACAAAGTCTTTTATTAGCATAAAGAAAGACAAACAAATACAACAGTTATGACAACATGCATGTCTTAGTTTACATGACAGAAAGGCAGTTCAGAAGTGTGGTACATATTCTTAAAATGGGTGAAGAGCAACTGCTCTACAATGTGTTATTTTGGTACATGGATTATTATACTATGAGTTAAAAAAATATTCTCACAAATTACCAAGTGATCTGTCTTCCTTTCAGGTCAGATCCATTCCTCAGTAACAGGAGGCATATTCAGAGCTTTATTTGACTCAGCAGACAATTGTCTGAGTGTTCTCTTGTTTCTAAGATACTTAAATATACTAGAACAGCACATGGAAACTGACTAGAGTTAGTCAACGTTTGAAAACACAAAGCAGGAGGAAAACACGGTGGAAGTATTACTGAAACAGCAAGAATACTGGAAAAGCTGTATTTGAACTTCTCCCTGTGTTTTAGAGAAATCACAATAATAATATTTACCAGCCTGAAAATGCCATCATGACATTTCACCTTAGCGAAATAAAATAACCCACATCATAGTGCATACTAGGAAATCGTGAGTTCTGTACTTCTGGGGAAAGAAAGAAAAGAAAACAAAACATGATGACAATGGATGCCTAAAGTAAAGGGTGGGGGGAATGAAACTGTTTCAAGTAACTTTTACCAGCCTAGAAAGGCAGCCTCCTTCTGCATTCACCCGCCTCCATCACACGGTTAAAAAATACTTTTGTTTGCGAGAACCCACGTCACGCCCCGACAGCCTGGGCGGCTCCAGCTGCAAGCACAGCTCAGGCCCCGCCGTGCCGGAGCCTCGGCAGCTCCCGGCTGGGCACGGCCCTGCCAGCGGGACACGGCGCGGCCGGCGGGACACGCTGGGGCCGCGCAGGGAGCGGGCGGGGCGCACAGCGGCCAGAGCCCTCCCTCAGCCGCCGGCGCTCGCACCGCCCCTCCCGGCCGGGCCGGCACGTCCTTGCGGCGGGAGCGCCGGGCTGCGAGGGGTCCCCTCCGTTACCTTCCCAGAGGAAGTGGCCGCCCTCCCGCCGCAGGAACTTGTACCAGAAGGGGCTGGCGGCGTCCTCGTCCGGCAGCGCCACCTCCGCCAGCCACAGCGCGGGCTCCTGGGCGGGCAGCGGGGCGCTCGGCCGCGCCCGCCTCATGGGCACGGCGCGCCGCGGGTCCCACTCGCCCAGCTCCGGCCGCGACCCGGCCACCAGCAGCTCCGCGCCGCCCTCCGTCACCCGGGCGGGCAGCACCACGCCGAAGCGGAACAGCATTTTACTGCCGCACTAAGGACGTGGTTCGACGAGGAGCTCTGCTGCTGCTGCAGCACGGCCGGGAGCACGGCCGCCGCTGGGGGGCTGCCCGGGCCCGCCCTTCCGCCAGCGCCGGGGCCGGACACCGCCCCAGACAGTGTCCATGCCCCGGACGGTGTCCATGCCCCGGACAGTGTCCATGCCCCGGACAGTGTCCATGCCCCGGACGGTGTCCCTGCCCCGATCACGGCCCCGGACACCGCCCCTGCTCCTTGGCCCCGCGGTGCCTCCTTCGGTCGGGGCTGTTCCCGGTGCCTTGTTTCGGGCGCTTGGCTGCCGCACGCACGTAGCCGAGGGAACTTCCCCTCGGAAAGCAGCGGCTGGGAGTTCAAACAACACCGACCCCCGATCGCCTCCTGAAGTGGAGATGGAAAATCCTCTCCGCAGCTAAACGCTAGCTCTCCTGGTTGCCAAAGGCTACGCGTCACGTATGCTGACTTTAACAAGGATTATTGCTGCATTAAAGAAGGAAGCCACCGCAATTACTCCCAAGAGCCCAGGCTTAATTTAGCGCAGCAAATGCATCATTAAAAACTGCCATACGTGCAGCTACAAACAAGGACTGGCTGCAAATAACGCTTTAGTGTTCATCATGTTTGTGTCTTCCCCGCTGACAGCCAGCCAGTCGTGGTGAGAAAAGAAATGTGAAATGCTGAGGGAGGTTAGAAAGCTTTTTAGAAAAAATCTGGAGTTCAATTCACGCGTTCTGTTTACAGCCAGAAGGGGAAAATTTGGCAACTCCTACGTGTAGCAATACTCAGGACTTAAAAAGACTGAGGAAGAGAATGCAATCCAACCATTTGTAGGGCGGTCCCTGCTTGAATACACCCATTTCAGAAGCTTTTAAGGACAGAAACAGAGGAGTAGTAACTTTATTTAGGTCAAGTTCTGGGAACAGGATGAAGGCCTTTCAATGAGTCAAAAGAAAGCCTGCCTCAAAAGATGGCTGTTTGTTTCCTTTATTCAGGGGTGATGACACTGAAGTGTATGTGCTGCCAAATTTATTTTTAAGAGTGCTTTAGCCAATTTTCACTGATACTTACTGAACTTGTGTAAGTGATATTCCACCACTTTTCCAGATATAACCAAAGCAAATGGAATTCTCGCTGTCTTCCATTTCTGCTGGCTTCACTGTAGCACTGTTGCCTTTGTGGAAGTGCAGTACATGTTATTCTTTGGTTTTGCTCAGCCTTACAGTCGAGCTACCCATGCCCTATCTCATAATTGTTTTTCAAATATCTATCTTTTTACCATACACTTTCATTTTAGCAGCATGGACGAGACAGAATGTAACAACTCTGAGGTTTTATCCTAAAGCTCAAGCATGACAGGAGTCCTAAAACAACCCCAGCATATTGTGTCTACATAAAACTATATGCTTCTGTTCATTCCAGTCACAGTCTCGGCTAAGAAACTTCAGGATCCAATAGTACATCTGATTGACAGTTTAGTCCCTGGCTGTTGTCTAAGCTGCAGTGTAAAGAAAAAACAGCAACATCCATCTTTGGACAAATCTGAACTGCTTTATGCCTGTAGATATTGAGTCCTCATCTTAGACCAGTCAGCTTTGTGGAACAATAAAAAATTGTTCTGTAGACTCTGATGTGTCAAGTAGTATCTTGAAAAATCATTCAGTCACTTTTTTCTCCTTAAGGATCTCCCTTAATCCATTTTATGCCACTCAATATTGTGTGTTAGATTAAGGTTAAAGATGACAGAAAGTAGACAGCTTGATTTCCTGTGGTTTCCTCAAAAGCCCTAGTTCAGATTAGGGTTAGGTGGAGAGATCGACAGGACGGGCTGAAAAACTGGATCTACTGATGGATCCTGCAAGAGCAAGATAAAAACTAGAAATGTAGATTGGCTTGGGATGTCCCATGGCTGGGGACATTGGTAACAGTGACAGTGAGCAGTTTATATTGGTGAAATTGCAGGCTGAATGGGGACTGTAGACAGGATAAAATTTATTAGCATTAGATCTGAGACTGAGGAGCTAAAGGTACTGTAAGGTTTGTTTTTAAGGTCAAGAAGCAAAGGCAAATGTATGTTTTTTCCCCCCTGTTAGATTTGCATGGCCTGTGATTTGTCATCTAAACTGGAATTTCAGCTGGAGTAAAGGCAGGGGAGGTGGGGTGGAGTTCCATTTACTGTTAGTATTTGGGATTGAAGGAGTTGATGAAGTACTTCCACAGTTGAGCCATTGCCATAACCCTAAATTTAGTTTTAAGTGTCACCCTAAGCCTCTTAAGGAATTAACAATAGTTTCCTTTGCCAAAATGACCTGTTATTCTAGTACTCCCTGGCCAGTTCTCTTCCCCTACAGTCCTTAACACTATTCTGAAACCTAAAAGCTTTCCCTATAATCCAGTCATCTTTTATAACCACAAATTAAACATGACTATTTCCTTTTTTTTTTTTTTCTGACTCTAGTAAATTCTCATTCCAACTTGGCAAGCCTTACAGTTCCCATCAAAAAGCTTTGGCACAAAGGGGCAAAACCCTAATAATCGAGTTGTTTTTAACTCTCACAATACTGTCAGTTGCTGATTCCTGTGGGAACAAACTACCATCTTAGTGGTCTGTCTGCATTGTAATAATAAACTCTGTGCATTTGTGCCCCTCACAGCTGCTTAGGATCTCTCAGTATACTTAACTTACAGCAGCCACTTGCCGAGTGGAAGCCTCGATTGACCTCAAATCGAACAGTGAACTAGCAACACAGTGAGGCTTAGTGCCAAGTTTATTTTAAAGCCTTCAGTTTATTGTTGCTGCTATCGTCCCAGGCATTTGCTAGAGCTGTTTCTAACTGGCAAAAACAGAAGAATTGTATGAAAAAAGAAAAGACAGCTCATTTTTACACAGCATTAGTGTGCAAGAAGGGACTCGAGAGATCAGTTTCTGCAAGCATCAGTTCCTTCATGGATTTCACCTAAATTGTACAATACACAGTAGCCTTATGTAATTTCCAGTGAATTAGCTGGTTTATTATCCAAAATTTGTACATGTCCTCACAGGAGTACTCACTGAGGCTGTGTACCAACTTAACACCAACCAACCATCAGTTATGCCTTCAAGTTTCTGCCTAATGGCTTTATCTGAAAGGATTCTAGGGAAAAGTCTGAATTTCCAGACTTTTCTAGAAATTCCAGAATTCCAGAAATGGGAGCTGTGACTTTATTTGCAGACGTGTAAAACACACTTAAAGGTATTTTTACTTGCTGTGCACTAAACTTTTGCAGAATCACAGTTCTAACTTTCTGCAGAAGTCTAATTTCTTATAGAGTCTCTTTCAGGGATAAAATTGTCGTGGTGTTTTTGTGAACCCAAGAGTTTTAAACCGCTTGCTACAGTCAGAAAACCTGAGCAAAGTATTGCTGGCTGAAATTTTAGTAAAGACAGTAGTTGAGAAGTTTGACAGTAAACAGCAGTTCAAAATTCAGCTTTCTAAGTTTAAAGTAATATTTTTCTTCACAATTTTCTTACTTGAAAAGTATCTACTAGGTATGGAGACAGCACACAGTTTTCTGATCAATGTGAGCTCTGCTAAAATGACAGATGAACTCAATAGTTCCACGTTGGGGTAGCCTGTGTCTGCAGTGTATGTGTTCTTTACCTTTCCTAACTTTTACCCCATAGCCCAGTCTGCAGCTTGGAACAGCTTTATCTGTTATTGCTGTACAGTGATCTCAGATGATAATATTTCCAAGTAGGGAAATCTGTAGTGAAGAGAGACAGTTTGAATAACAAAAACAAAACACAGATACAGAAAGATCTGGCTGGAGAAAGGAGGGGGTGTCCGTGATTGCAAGTTGTGGGTGATGTTTAGATTAGCAGTGCTCCTTCCTAGACTTGCCTTTCTTCCCTTTTTAGGTCATTTTCTTTCTTGTAAAGATACAGAGAAAGTGTTATTGCAATTTCCAAATGTTTCTGCTAATTATAGAAAAGAGAAAGGCAGCACATGGTACACAGTCTTCCTTGTAAAAAGGCAAACATTTATATAATGTGTAAGCTGATTTAGATGTATTAGTGATTTGGGTAAAATGTTCATTGCTGAAAAATTTAGACAGCCTGTATTTCTTCAAAGAGATTGAGCTAAATATAAAAGAAACCCTATTGTAGTGCAAATAATTTAAGACCACTGGTTTAACTGAAAGTTGATTATGTTGATAAATCTAATCAATCTGTGGACCCAGACCTAATTGAATTTTAACTGTCCCTCTCATATCAATTCTGATAGAACTATGCTCTCACCAATACTTCTAATTTGACAATGCAGCAGCCAAGAAATACCTTTGTTGACTGAAGACTGAAAGAAGACTAAGAGTTAAAGAACTTGTTAACAGATAAGCACTGCTATCCATAATTTTTAGTTTTGAGCTGTATCAGAGAAGTGACAACTGCATGAACCATTTTAGATGCTTATTGCTAGGAGCAACCTTTTATGCAGACTAAGCTACAGAAGTTCTGTCAGGACTGACCACTTCAGGAATTGTGTTGAGAAATTATTCTGTAACTATAGGACACTACAGGAGATGATTTCCACTTTTGCAGGGGAGTCTGTGTAGCATATTTTTAAAAAGTTTGTTGTTTTTAGAAGTAACTTGGCAGTATAAATAGACAATTACATTACATTACATTACAGTAAACACTACAGAAATACATACAGGAATAACTCATCTGGTAGGTTTCTTTTTTCAACATCCAGTAAAGTCGTCTGCATCCTCCCTAGCCTCAATATGCCTTGGGAGCTGGAAAAAGTCCCAACATATTTCAGCACGGGGCCCTTTCAGGATGTCCTGTCAGCCTCACCAATGTCCAGAATATTGCAGTCCAGCACATGGCTCCCTTCCTGCCCAGAGTGAGCCACAGAGTTTTTGGAGGGATGCTCCAGCTCATCTGTGGTGCATTTGCACTGGGATGCTGTTACCTAAGCCAATCCAGAGTTCTGGTAGCCCTAGCAGGAGCATGGCTCTTCT